ATTATGGACTCTTCCACTGGTTTCATATTATGGACTCTTCCACTGGTTTCATATTATGGACTCTTCCACTGGTTTCATATTATGGACTCTTCCACAGGTTTCATATTAAGGACTCTTCCACTGGTTTCCTTTACCCCTCACCTTCTGACAGACGACGGCGGCGAAGATGATGATGAAAAAAAGGATGTAGATGACGGCTTTCACCCCCATGAGAACCGGCTGCTCGTGGACGTCTGGCTTGTCCTCTTCTTCATCTAGCGCACTGAAAATGTCCCATCCGCTGAGGAGAAGATTTTTTCTTTATTAATTTTCCTCTCTGGAAGATTTTCTGTTGCAATATAAAATCTATTATAACTATCAATGTCAAAAGACCAATATAAAACAATTTTCTAACAACACTATACCAAAGATATTACATAACAAGATAATTCACTCAGCCAAAGATTGTACATAGCAAGATAGTTCACTCAGCCAAAGATCGTATGTAATAAGATAGTTCACTCAGCCAAAGATCGTACAGAACAAAATAGTTCACTCAGCCAAAGATCGTACATAACAAGATAGTTCATTCAGCTAAAAAAGTGTCCACGGAAGTCTGCGCATTGGTTCAGATGGCGCTGCAGTCTTTGTTCTGAAGCTCTCTTTCGATTCTCCAGAAGAGGAATAGGAACAGCAGTTTGATAGTTTCACTTTTATTGTTTTTTACACAAATAGGGTAACCCTGTTCGCAAAGTCCACGCTTTTTCAAAGGGGAAATTTACTCATTAATCCGATCCGTGGGCTTTGTTTGCACAGCAGTCTGTCAAAATGATATTTTGAGAAAAACTGAAAGTTTCTAAGAGATCTTCGCACTAGAAGTATTCTAAACTGTGAAGAATACAACCCCGGGGTTACAAAATGACCCGTGGGGTCAATAATTCGAGAAGCAACTTAATTTAAATATCTCTTTAACGGGTGAATCAATGTTGTCCATTCTTTGCATAACAGTTTGTATCAATTTGTCTTAACGTAATCATATTTTTTAACGACAATTGAAACTAGATTAAACAGCCCATTTTCTATTCTACAGTGCATAAGAACATGTTAATATCCACCTCCACCCCCCCACTTCCACCTTTGGGATCGGCCTAAAGACACTCCAGTCAGTAGCCATGCCCTGGTTGGTAGGGGGGGGGGTAATTTTTTTTTTTTAAGTACCCAGTGAACCACTCTGTCTCCGAAGCGGAAAGTCCAGGTTTGAGCCTCGGTTCGGACACGGATTTATTTCGCTCCCTCCTGCCCACCCAGCAGTAATGGGTACCTGACTTCGAGTTGGGGAAGTAAAGTCGTAGTGGAAAAGAACTGTCCACCCTACCACAATATTTATGCCGAAGGTCCAGGAAGTTGTCTCACTAACAAGGCACTCACCAATGTCCGGGTGGGTGGTTGGCGGGTGCTCTGGTATGGTTTGCGTCTTCTTTCCTATCAAATATCTATCGTCTTTATCTCCCCTTGTATTTTTTGTGTTTGTTACTCTCTTGTAAGACCTCTAATCTTCTGCACTTATATGACGTTACTGTGTTGAAAGTGCCGTAAAACTCTTACTAAAACTGAACTAAAACCAATGTCCGGATCAGATACGGGAACTACTATACTTTTACTTTACCAGAGATGGACCACAATATGCCAAAGACCAAGGAAGTTGTCTCACTAACTCAGGAAGTTGTCTCACTAACAAAGCAATCTCCAATGTCTGGATCAGACGCGGGAACAAGTTTACTTTTACTTTATCAGAGATGGACCGCAATATGCCGAAGACCCAGGAAGTTGTCTCACTAACCCAGGAAGTTGTCTCACTAACAAGGCACTCCCCAATGTCCGGATCAGACGCGGGAACAAGTTTACTTTTACTTTATCAGAGATGGACCGCAATATGCCGAAGACCCAGGAAGTTGTCTCACTAACCCAGGAAGTTGTCTCACTAACAAGGCAATCCCCAATGTCCGGATCAGATGCGGGAACAACTTTACTTTATCAGAGATGGACCACAAT